CAAGGGGGAGTTACTATACTACCTAAAACAGGAAATCTTTTTGGTATTTTCTTTAGACTTACTTCCCTCAAGAAAACTGTCTAGAAGATCCGTCATTAGGAAAAGTCCAACATATTTCTCTAGTGGTAGGAAACTCATTCAACTGAGTGCCTTACAAATCTGACTCGAGTGTTAAAAAGGTGTATCGAGACTAACCTTGTACTTAATTGGGAAAAGTAGAGCCATTTCGTAGGTACAAGAGGGTATAGTCTTGGGACACCGTGGTATCAAGCAAGGGAATCAAGTCATTCCACCACAGTTCTATTTATAATACCCCAAACTCCTTTAGGTGCAATTGTATCAAGTCACCACTTATCAAGGACTACATTTACGTATTTTCTTTTCTCTTAAGTGGCGCTTATTCTTTCATTTTTTAAAACACTGCACCTTTTTTTCTCTATTTCATTAGTTCCACTCAAAAACCAAACCACCACCCCACACTTTAACTTTTGCATATTTCATAACCATTCAAGTGCTCATGGGAGGTAAAGGGGTTCAAACAGATGGGCCGTTCAAACAATTGGGTAAGGTTTGTAATGTGGTTGCCAAAGAAACAGGCTTATAGGCTCAACGGGGTTAACTACGATGTATCGCATTTAGGTGGGTCTACTTTATATATCTGGCTTAACAAAGAAATGCCTATATCACTTCTAAGAATGAATAAAGCTACCATTTCGCTTTGCAAACACACAGGGCAAGTTCTAGGCATCAAATGCAGAGCATAGAATACAATACAACTCTCACACACATGGCACATGACTCACTCCAGATTGACTTATCAAAACACTCTCGTTTGAGTACTCAAGTTAGTTACAAACATACAATTTAAGGCACTCTAACAAGAATCAACAACTGAGACTAAGCGTCACACTCTAGTGTCTATTGTGTTCAGGTGTAACAACACTAAGGGATTCTCTTCCTATCTCAGCTCATAGCCCATAAGTACCAAAGAAAAACTAGAAACAAAATAAACAAAAACTAACTACATCCGGTTCAAGCAAAACCCTTGAAAAAGAACCGTCGCCCAAAGAAAAACCAAAGGGGAGTTACTACACTACCTAAAACAAAAAAAAAATTGGTATTTTCTTTAGACTTACTTCCCTCAAGAAAACTGTCTAGGAGATCTGTCATCAGGAAGAGGCCAACATATTTTTGGTATTTTTTTGTTCGACTTAAGTCATTCAAGAGACCCGTCGAGAGGTGTCCGTCTTCGGGCCAAGTCGAAGTTAATTAATAGCAACCAAAAATATCAAACAAGTCTATACAATTGTACAACAACAACAATCATCCCCACCCCCACACTTAAAGATTTGGCATGTCCCCATGTCAAAGAAATTAAAGCAGAGTAAGGTAAGGGGACTTCCCTGGTGTTCAGTCCTTATCGGAGACAGTGCCAGGGTCAAGGTGACACGCCCGACCCAAAGCACGCAGCCAGCCCATGATTTTCTTTTC